GTCGATTAATCGACTTATCGTGGCAGCCCTACTTTCCAGTGAATTAAATTAAATATCGGTTGAAAAGGATTTACAAATCATCATGTTCTGTTTTTACAYGTTTTACTCAATGTCCTGATTTCAGTGGAACTGGGGTTATACTGCAGAGCTCATGGATAAACCTGATACATGTTAGATAAGTACGTTTTGTTTGTATTTTCAGTGATTAGGATTTGGGAACGCTGAAAGAAATGCAACGTGACTGTAAAAATAACACAACTCACCCTTTCTTCATCCAGAACAGGGCACTGGTACTCTTCATCGAACCCATCATACAGCTGACCTGCTCAAAACAACATTTAGTCGAGCAGAGACTCCTGCTGAACACTGCCAGTTATTTTTACTGGACCATGTTTATACAGCTCGTTGTTGTTTAACGTTTACCTTCTTGTGCCAGTTCTCCTACATTAACGTAGGTCAGCCCTGTCCTCAAGGCCAGCTCCCTTCCAAGAGTGGTCTTCCCAACACCAGGAGTTCCTGCAGGCAACAACACAAACACCTCATTCATGGAGAAAACAATCTGAACTGATTATACTGTCTAATCCTCCATTGATGACTTTAGTTATTCAGGTTCTGACTTAACAGATGACACCAGATCCTCAGAGGGCAGAGTTGTAAATAAATAAATAAAATAAAACAAAACAAATGAGGCAAACGTTTGACCAAAACACGTAAAAGAACCATCCAGTCAGTATGCTGCGACTTCAAGTATACCCCCAGAGAACAACCACTAGCTGAAATAATCTGTTAAAAAGATTARTTTGTTTTACAGACAGTACATCACCTGTTAGCAGAATATTGGGCCGTTTAATCATCCTGGTGGTGTGTGGCTAACATCGGACACACACGTGTTTTACTGAGTAAACTTAAAACAAAGAAGAAATAAATCTTGTTATCACGTCTGGTCTACTGAAACATTTAAGGTATGAGTGCAAGAAACAGCACAAACCGTAAAAACACGCAGTCAAATGCAGAAAAGACTTCGGTAAATTAATAAAATGTCCAAACGTCACAAACTGGACTGGGGTCAGCAGGCAGGTGCTCTTCTTCTACGGTTATTTAAAGCGGCTGCCAACAACCAACTGATGCATTATCGCCACTTACTGGTCTGCAGTGGGAACTGCATCAG